GATTCCTTAGTCTTCGCCTTGCGTTTCCTTTGTGCTCGTTTGGTCTTCCGCTTCTTGATCTTCGATTTAGCCCGTGGCCCACATCCCTTTGGCCAATCTCGTACGCATGATGGTCGATAAATCGGACTAGATGGCTCCTCGAACATGTTCTCCAACCAAATATCGAGACCATCGTCCTTCTCCTTGTCGGACTCGCCGGGGTTGATGACCACTTCCGTATCACGTTGGCGTAGAGTGCGATGCGTGCGTGCTCTCGGACTTCCGTGCGGGTGGCTTACGGCGTGTGGTGCTCTCGGCAAATGCCCACGAATAACACCCTCAAACACAAAGCCTCACTTAACTCTCTCTCACTCTCGGTACTAATGAACTTAGAGGAGGAAAAATGAAACAACTCTCCCATGCCTTACTTAAAAACCGAATATGTGGCGGAGAGAATGAGGGGGGTTTCGGTCAAAGCATGGACAAATGGCAAGACATGCAAGTTAAAGCCAACTCTCTCTTGGCCTCATCCTCACGTGAAAGCAAAGACAAAAACACAAAAAGATGCTCGGTCACAAGACCCCTCACATGCACGCATTTGAGACAAATGCACGAGCTCACACGCACAAAAAATACAAGAAGGAGTGCACGGATAACTTGAGGAAAAATGGGACAAAAGTGCACGGCATTCCTAGCATAAGGACAAGGGGGGGCGCGCGGTTTGCAAGGAAAATGTTGGGTGCGGATTAACACGAGCCTTGGACACTCCGCCCATGCAAAATCCCACGGCACTCATGGACAAAATGCACGCACGGCAATGCACCATGACTTGGAAGGAGAATCTTGCACAAAAGTACAAAAGCTTGCACGGTCTTCATGACTTGATGTTGGCACGGATTCTCTCGGACGAACACGCGCGCGCACGGTCTTCATGACGAATGTTGGGCGGATTCTCGCACGGACACATGCACGGCACTCGCGTGAAAGTGGACCGAGACACTCGCATGCACACTCAACATGCACGGCACTTGAAAAAGGACTCGGAATAAAATCCGAACAATTACTAATCTCGTGATTAAGTTAAATTAATCACTTAATTGTGTTTAATTTTCCAATTAAACATAATGCTAAATTACCAAAATTTATTTCGAACGTAAACGGTACGTCGAAAATATTTTCCGGTAATTTCGACTGAAATAACTGAAAAGGATTAATTCCAAAAAATAACATCGGAACTAAAATATTATTATACTGATAAAAGTCGGTATATTACATTTATGATTATTGTATTTTATGTTTTTGCCACGCTAGACTTCCGCTAAAACTTTTAAGTACTTTTTATCAGACTTTGCTCCGATGCTAGTCGGATAAGACATTATGGCCGTTGTTTTATGTATCAGTTTAAACTTTAACGGTTTTCAGAAATTAAGTTTTCACGGTAGCCCCCGAATCAGTTAATAAGAATTTTATTTATTTATTCAGAAAGTTTGCGAAAAATCGCGTACTCTGATATATTAGAAAGTCGGGGTGTTACAAAATCTATCAATCAGATTAATATTATTTAATCATGGAGGCTCGATTTTATTGGTAAAATAGTGGCTTAATGGGGAGAGCAATAATATTACTCTAGTGGGATGTTTTATTATTTAATTCCATTAAATAGGAATTAATTTTATTCCATATTAATTAATTAATTAGGAGAATAAAATTCCTACTAGAATCTTCTCTTGGGATTAGGAGACTTGGGAGTCTTCTAGAAGATGAAGATTAGTGGGAAATATATTTCCTACAATGTATTAATTAATTGGAGTAAAATTAGGTTTCCTAAATTAGGATTTAATTTTATTCCATGTTTATTAATTTAATTAGGAAAGGAAATTCCTACAAGGATCTTCTCTAGTGTTAGGAGACTTAGGAGTCTTCTAGAAGAGAGAAGATTAGTAGGAGATCTCCTTCCTAGATTGAGTTAGTATTGGATTAGAATTAGGAGTCCTAGGCCTAATGGAATAAGTCCATATTTAGCACCTCCTTAAGGTCCCTAATGGAGCCTATAAATACACCATGTCCCATACTCTTCTAAAGAGTTGTCTTGGCCGATTTTCCCTACTACATACACGAGGGAATTACTTTGTTCAAGAGTTTGGGAGATCCGATTAAACGCTCCACCAAGTTTAATCGGAATAGGTGTTTAGGTAATCCATTAGAAGGCTTTTTGGTACAATTGATTGAGCTTTCTAATACATACATATTCGGTCATCATCACCATCCGATCGCCGCCGTTCGCCGCCGTGAACCACCGCCGGAGACCGCCAACTGTCGCCGGAAGTCACCCGAGCTCAGCCCAGCGCAACCGCACGTCACCGCGAGCTGTCGCGCATCGCCGAGCCCAGCGTACGACACCCAGCGACAAGCAGCGACGCCCCACGCCATCGCGAGTCA